GGGAACGGGAGGGTCAGGTGGGGCCGTGGGGGGACCAGGGGAGGTTGTAGGGCCTAAGGAAGGGGAGGGAAAAGGGCTGGGCCTCAGGCTGTGGGGCCTGAAGGGGTGTTGTGAGGCCTAAAGGCGGCTCAGGGGAGAGAGGCAGAGTGTGAGATTGTGGGGCCTGAGGAGAGGTGAGAGGAGAGGGGTTGGCTCTAAGGTTGTGGGGCCGGGAGGGTCAGGTGGAGCTGTGGGGCTGGGTGGGATAACGGGAGAGGGGCTGGACCTCAGGTTGCCTTCCCTGAGCAGGAGTGTGGGAGCAGGACTGGGGCTGAGGCTGTGGGCCCTCAAAGAGGGGAGTGGGACTGGGACTGTGGGGCCGGGTAGGGCTGAGGGGAGCAGGGCAGAGCCCTGGGGGAAGCGGGCTGGGCAGGGGTGGGCTGGGACAGCAAGCACAGGGACAGCATGAGGGTGCCCTGCTGTGTCCTGGGGGGGATTTCCCTGGGAAAGAGCTGGGGACAGCTCTGCTGGGGCAAGGGGCAGCAGCAGTTCTTTGGGTGGCAGCACTGCTGTGGCATCAGCCATCACTCCTGCAGCACAGAGGGGCTGCTCCCAGCCACTGTCACTTGCTCCCCTCAGAATTATCCCCTCTACATCCGGAGTGTTCCCACTGAGAACGAGCTGAAGTTCCACTACACCGTGCACACTTCCCTCGACGTCGTGGATGAGAAGATCTCTGCCATGGGCAAAGCCCTTGTAGATCAGAGGGAACTGTACCTCGGGCTCCTCTACCCCACTGAAGACTACAAGGTGTATCCTTCTCATGCCTTTTACAACCCCTATTATGTGTTTTTAGGCTCTTTTTGTGAGGGGCTCTGTGTGGGAAACCTCTATTGGTGCTGTGTTAAAGACATCAGCAGAAAACAGACTTGGGCCCTCACCAGTTTTGTCACGCTGAGGTTCAGGTTTGGTGCCTTGGCCAGTTCAGCAGCTGCTTTGTGGCCCGAGCAGGTGGTGGAAAATTTTACCTTTAGCCTATGTGAGGGGGAGGAATGTGTGAAGAGTGTCTGGTGTGGTGCAGCCAGACTTCACCTTCCATTAACTGGGTGCATAACCCTTTTTAGCTAAAATCACAGAATCATTAAGGTTGGAAAAGACCTCTAAGGTCATCAAGTCCAACCATCAACCCAACACTCCCATGACCACTAAACCATGTCCACAGATGCTACATCCACATGTTTTTTGAACCCCTCCAGGGATGGGGATTCCACCACCCCCCTGGGCAGCCTGATCCAATGCATGGAAAGTGGTTGACAGTGAGTAGAACAAAGCTGAGGCTCTTTAACACCACCAGTGAAGGCAGTAGGAGGATGAAGGTGTCTCTGGTCAAGCACCTGAACCCCAGGGGTGTGGTATGGTTTCTCTAAAATTTGCATTCCACAGCCACAGGTTCCCAATATTTTAAAGTCACAAAAGTTCATCTTTTGAACATACTTTGGCATTTCTCAGAATCCCCCAGATGGAATTTGTCAGCAGATTAGATTTTGCAGAATCCAAGAATAGTTTGGGTGGGAAGGGACCTTTCAAGGTCATCTCACCCAACCCCCCTGCAGGGAGCAGGGACATCCCAACTAGAGCAGGTTGCTCAGAGCATCATCCAACCTCACCTGGGATGGTTCCAGGGATGGGGCAGCGACCACCTCTCTGGGCAGCCTGGGACAGAATCTTCACCACCCTCAGCAGCAAAAATTTCTCCCTTCTCTCTAGTCTAAATCTCCCTCTTTGAGTTTCAAACCATCCCCCCTTGTTCTGTTGCAACATGACCTGCTAAAAACATCATCCCATCTTTCTTCTAGGCCCCTGGTAGTCCTGACAGCCCCCCAGCGGGTCTCCCCAGCTGGAGCCTTCTCCTCTGTGGCTGCCCCAGCCCAACTCTCTCCTGCTGGGCTCCCAGCAGAGGGGTTCCCCCCTCGGGGCATTGCTGGGGCTTCCTCTCAACCCTCTCCAGCAGATCCCTGTTCCCTTTCTGGGTTTTCATAAACTTGTGGTTAACTCCTGAAGTCTCACTCTGGCTGCTGTTAGATCTGCAGGTTTCTGACTGCCTGACCTGCACTTCCCTGAGTGGGTAGCAGGGGGATGACAGGTTTTGGGCTCCCTTGCTTACCTCATCCAGCCCCAGTTCCCTGCTGGGCGCAGCCCGAACGTCGCGTTTCCCCTCGGCTCGTTCCCTGAGCGTGCTCCAGCCTCAGTTTGGTGGCTCTGCCAGGCTCTGGCACGTCAGAAGCAGGTGCCTTGACGTGTGCCCAGGTATGGCTACGTGACAAACTCGAAGGTGAAGTTTGTGATGGTGGTGGACTCCTCCAACACCGCGCTGAGGGACAACGAGATCCGCAGCGTAAGTGCGGCAGGGCCCGCCACAGCTTCCCTCACTGGTGCCTTTGCTCCTTCTTCCCTCACTGGTGCCTTTGCTCCTTCTTCCCTCACTGGTGCCTTTGCTCCTTCTGCTTATTCCCAAAGTGTTGAGAAGGAAAAAAAAAACATTAATTAAACTTCAATCTCTTTTCAGATGTTCCGAAAGCTGCATAATTCCTACACGGATATCATGTGTAACCCTTTTTATAACCCTGGAGACAGGATCCATTCCAGGTGAGTGGGTTGATTGGCCTCAGCTTTGTTTTTCTGGATCTTAAGAGTGTCCACGTGATGTAAGAGGACCAAGAGCATAACCCCTGTGGTTGACCCTTGGAGAGCAGCTGTGTTGTCTTTGGGCCACTGCTGCCTACCAGAGAACTGAAGAGTCTCAGGGGAAGTTATGTTGAACTCTCCCTCCTGCCTCCAAACTGATACTAGAAACACTGACTCCAGAAAATCAGTTCTGAAAATTAGTTCAGAAATTATATTTCTGGGGAGAAAACGTTGCCTGATTCATAGGAAACTATCAAAATAACTGTAGGTAAGTAGAGCAGTTTGAAGAGTGAACAACTGCACTTGCCACAGGCTTATCCCCCTCTCAGCATGGAGAACACCTCCCACATCAGGGGCAGTGCCCCCCTTTCTCATCTGTCCTCTCACAGGAGTTTCTAATACTTGTCATAGTGTTGGGAGTTTCTGTTGCCTGAGCAAGAATGACTTGGCAGTGCTGGGCTAGCAGACTCTGTGAGCTTAAAGGTCTTTTCTAACCAAAACAATTATATAAATTCTTTTACAGTTTGCTCTGAGGCAGGTCTACAGAGAGGATAAGATCTGTCCTTCCTCCAGCTTAATTAGAAGTCATTCTTTACTCAGCAGAGCGTGTTTTAGTTTAAAAGTAAACCCATGTTTGGGGTTGTTGAGCCTGGAGCAGAGGAGGCTCAGGGGAGACCTGGCTCTGCACAGCTCCTGACAGGAGCCTGGAGCCAGGTGGGGGTCGGGCTCTGCTCCCAAGGGACAAGCAACAGGACAAGAGGAGACAGCCTCAAGTTGCCCCAGGGGAGGTTGAGGTTGTCCCTGAGGCACAATTTCTTTCTCTGGAGGGTTGCCCAGGGCTGTGCCAGGCTGCCCAGGGCAGTGGTGGAGTCCCCACCCCTGGAGGGGTTTCCAAGCCGTGGAGATGTGGTGTGAGGGACACAGGGCAGTGGGGACCTGGCAGTGCTGGGGAAGGGTTGGACTCCATGATCTGAAAGGTCTCTTCCAACCCAAACAAGTGTGTGCACCTATGATTCTATGTACTCAGCTCAATTAAACTCCCAGCTCGTTAACCAGGGAGAGGCCTCATTAGCCCTCAGGTGTGGTATCTGCTGTACAGAACTAGCAGCTTCCTCTAACCTTCTGTGCTCATTTCCTTCCCCAGGGCTTTTGATAACATGGTGAACTCCATGATGATGCAGGTGTGCTGAAGCTCTGCCCCCTGAGAACATTCCCCCTGTACAGAAGTGATGTATATATTGTCTGCAGTCTGGGTGATACTTGAAATTTATTCTGTGTAAAATAAACCTGACACCCTCGTGGTTTGTGCCCATTTCTACTCAAGCAAACCCCAGCAGAGTGCAGAAGTTGCTGTTGAGCTTTATGCCTTCAGGAAGGTCAGCTGTGGCCAGAGGCCTGTTCCCTCCAGCTGTGTGCAGCTGTGCTTCTGGGCAGCTCCAGTGGGGCTGGAGAAATTGGGATTTGGGTAAAACCAGCAATTCCTGGGATTAGAGCCAGCACAGCTGCCCAAGAGGAGCTAGCCAGGAGGTTGTTACTGGGGTCAACCTGGATTTCAGTCAGCTGAGAGGCACAGTGACACTGCTCCTCAGAAGTCCTGGTTCCTCACAGCAGGAGGAGCCCAGCAGCAGCACTTCTGCTCTGTGCCAGCCCTGGGCTGCTCAGGTCTGGTCATGCCAACAGGAACAGCACAAGAAACATTGAATTCAAACGTGCTTTGCTCCTTGTCCTGTTTTTCTTCAGCTGGGAACAGTCAGATCTGTACTTACTTGGTTATATCTCAGCAAGAAAACTCTGCAGGTCAGCTACAGGCTCCAGGTCTCTGATCCACTCCATGATTCTCCACAAGCCCAGCCACTGCTCATGGACTTGAGAAAGCTCTGGCAGGCAGCAAAGGGCTGGTCTGAAAGCATCACCTCAAACCTGATCAAGCCCTGCACTTCCCAAGAGACCTTTTCAAGGTCATCTCACCCAACCCCTGCAGGGAGCAGGGACAGCCCCAGCTAGAGCAGGTTGCTCAGAGCCTCAGCCAACCTCACCTGGAATGGTTCCAGGGATGGGGCAGTGACCACCTTGCTGGGCAACCTAGGACAGAATCTTCACCACCCTCAGCAGCAAAAAGAATCTTCACCACCCTCAGCAGCAAAAATTTCTCCCTTCTCTCTAGTCTAAATCTCCCTCTTTTAGTTTCAAACCATCCCCCCTTGTCCTGTTGCAGCATGATCTGCTAAAAACATTGTCCCCATCTTTCTTCTAGTCCCCTTGAAGGTCTCCCAGGAGCCTTCTCTGCAGGCTGCCCCAGCCCAACTCTCTCCCAGCAGAGGGGTTCCCCCCTCAGGTAATTTTTGTGGCTTCCTCTCAACCTGTCCCTGTTCTCTTTCTGGGTTTTTATAAACTGGTTGTTAACTCCTGAAGTCTCAAGGTCAGCTCACACAGGCTGCTGTTAGCAGAGCTCCAGGTTTCTGACTGCAGTCTCCCAAACAAGACTAGATAAGGTGGTTGTATCATTAAAATAGTTCTTGAGAAGAGAGAAACCCTCCCCAAAATAGCTACTGGGAGGCTGCTTCTGAACTTGAAGGCTTGACTTAGTGTGTGAGCCTGACCTGCACTTACCCAAGCTGGCAGCAGTGGGGTAGAAAGGGGATGATAAATTCTTGTAATCTCCTCTTGCTTACCTCATCTAGTCCTAGGAGTTACTAGAAGGCTGCAAGAAGCTCTCCCTGGAGCCTTCTCCAGGCTGAACAACCCCAACTCCCTCAGCCTGGGCAGCCAGCAGAGGGGTTCCTACAAGGGAAGATCTTTGGGTGACTGAGACATGACTGTGATATCTCACTTATCACCCCACTCCCAACAACTCCAGCCCAGGGCAGGGAGCACAGGTAGCACAGCAGGGACAAATCCACATGGAGAGATGAAGACATCAGGATTGTCCAGCTGCCTGGCTCAGCCCAAACTAATCTGTTAGCATCTCCTCCCAGAGCAGCTTCCCACTGCTCTAATTAAAGGCTACCAAATCGATGCCTGTTATTTATAGAGGAGAAAAAAAAAAGGCAAACTAGGCTAGAAAAGCATCCCAGCTTCATCATCACTTGTGCTCACCCTCCAAAGGGCTGTGCAGCTACAGCAGGTTCAGCAGCTACTCAGTGCTTCCCACCCCACCCTCCTCCTGCCCCACAGGCAGCAGTCTGTGCTTCGAGCACCTAATCAGTTAAAAATCCATAAAACAGAGCTAAAAATAACAAGAGAATAGCTGCACAGCTCTGAAGGGTAGAAAGCAGCAGGTCAGTGTGAAGTGTTGGCTCTCAGCAGGCTCACAGCAGATGAAGTTCACACAGCAGGATCATTTATTTTAAAAATAAGTGACATTTACAATACCTTCTCAAGCACAACTTAAACACCTTTAATCAACAACAAGCTGTCAGATAATGGGAGATGAAAGTGTTTGAGCCTCTCCCACCATCTAAACAGGGCACAGCTGCAAGTCCAAAACATTTTCACCTAAAAATCTTCCCTCTTTTCACTCGCAGAGGCAGGAGCTCAGCATTTCCTCTTCCACAAGAGAGTCCAAAACACCCCAAAAAGTCAGTTTTGTTAAAAAAAGTCTCAAGAACTGACTAAATATAAAGTTGAAAGCCCCAGGAATAAGCCAGTTTTATAGTCGATGCCTAAAGGTAGCTCAGATCAAGGCCAGTCCTGGAAGCTGAGTCCACGCTGGGCAAAATGCACAAAAATCAACACAACATGAAGAGTTAAGGCCCCAAGCTTTAAAAAAATGGAGATCTTAAGGGGAAAAAAAAAAATCAGTGGGATTTTTAGCCTGGCAATGCCCCCTGAGCTGTGAAAAGCTGCTTTAGGAGTCAGGCACATCTGTTGCATCTGGGTTAGAGGGATCCTAAACCAAGGATCCTGAAAGATTAGTGTGAGAATTACATAATAAAAGCAGTTTGAATGCAGAACTTCCCCCAGTGACACTGCCTGCCTCTTTAAACACAAAGTTTTTCCTTTAAAAACGAGCTGTTTCAGAGCTCATAAACACAAAATCAGAGGGGAAGTGCCAGGCAGTGCTCCCTTCCCAGCCCCCAGCTTTTGATGCACTTCAGTCCTGACCCTCTAAATTCAGCTGGGCTCAGCCCATCCCCAAACTGGGATCAGGAATGGTGATGGGAGGAATGAGGAAGATCAGACCAGATCTGCAACCTCAGAGATGGGTTTTGTGATACTGCTAATAATAAAAGGATGTGTTGGCAGCACCCTTTGATCCCTGTGGCTCTGGAATAAAAGCAGGAGGGGACAACAAGGGGGTTGTTGACTTATGAAATAAAAGGAGGGAAGGGTTTTGTGACACCCACGTTTTGTTTAACCATCCCAGGCATACAGAGGCTGCCAGAGAAACAGCAACAGATGATTTGCCCCTCCCTTAGATGTCAAACAACAGCAGTGAGCCAAAGAACAGACCCAAACCACACTTATGCTTCATCCTCTTCCCAAGAGCAAGGTCAGAAATCCACCAGGCTGAAGGAGAAGCTCCCCAGCAGCCAGATCTGGAGCTGCTACCCAAGACCTTCTCCACTGATCTGGTGAAGAAAAGTCTTTAGGATTTTCTTAGGAGCAAGAGAAAGCAGCAACCAGCTCTTGTAGGAACATCTGGCAAACCTGAGGGTGCTTCATGGGTCGAGCAGGACAGGTCCACCCTCACCATGGGCTGGAGGGCTTGTGGACACCTAGGAGCCAAACCAAACCCTCCAGCACAGCCCTTTTCTATGGGATGAAGATAAAACCAGTGGTCTGGGAAAGCTCTTCTCTTCCCAGAAGAGGGAATTCTCTGGAATGAATCTTTTCTTGACGAAGGCAATCCCCCAAGGTGAGCCCCTCCCGGGACACTGCAGGGATCTGGCCGATGTGTGGTGGAGCAGATCCAGTCCTCCCTCCCTGCTGCCTCACCAGTAATCCTCACAGCCAGGCAGATGGCATTTTGAAAATTAATCTTTTTTGGCTTGGGTCAGCATATTTTTAAATCTCTCCAGTCCCACCTCCTCGTCGCAGTCCCGTGGGCATCGCCAGGGCAGTCCACTCCTCTCTAGTATGGAAAATACCAAGGCAGCAGCCTTGCCCGACCCCTAAACAAGAACAAAACCAGCATCCTAAAGCACCAGGGCATTGCCAAAAAGCTCAGCTATCACTTCCCCACCCCTCCAAGGGCTGGGATTCAGCCTTCTGCCCCAGCTAGCCTACGCTGAACCCCTAAAAGACAGGGCAGCCCCAAAGCCAGGCACGGCTCAGGGACTGGTCAGGCTAGGAGTGCAATACCCGCTTCCCAGGTCCCTGCAGGGACAGCAGCAGGCTTCCAGGTGTTTCCTGCAGCCTGTAGGTGTGCTCACCTGTACGTCCTCCCTCGCACCCTCGGGTGCTGCCCTCTGTAGTAGCCTCCCCGGGCTTGGAAGTGGCCCCGGTAGCCCCCGCGGTCAGTGCTGCTGATGCCCGGCATGTTGGTCCTCTTGGGCAGCACCTGGAAGGCAAGAGATGGCTCAGCCTGTGCACGTGGGGCTGGGAGGGATGGACGCAGCCCCTCAGGGCCTCATCCAGCTCTTACTTTAATGACTCTGCCTCTGAACACGCTCTCATCCAGCTCCACCGCAGCCTTCACCGAGCTCTTCTCCTCGAATTCAATGTAGGCGTACCTGCAAGAGGACGGGGTGAGCAGAGAGCCCCAGGGACACCTCGCTGCTCCCAAAGCCTTGGGGAGCCCCCAGCAGCACCCTCAGAGCCCAGCACCAGCCCCTGTGCACAGCACTGACCCTTTGGGGTGCCCCGAGAACTTGTCGCAGAGGATGGTCACCCGGTTGATCTGCCCACAGCTGTTGAAGTGAGACTCCAGCTCTTCGGCCGTGCCCCCGTAATCCACCTGCAAAGACAGTCCCAGCCCCTCCAGCACCACCCCCCAGCCCTCCCAGCTTGTGGGGCTGCATTCAGACACCACCACGAGAGGCAAAGGCCCCAGTTGTGAGCTGAACCCACTCACAACTTTGCCACCACAGCTTCACCATCTCCTGAGGCTCAGGAGACCCCTCCAGCTGAATGCCTCAGCCTGGAAACTCAAATCCAAGAGAGAGCTGCCCCCACTTTGAGGGAACAAGCAACACTGCATGACCCTCAGCTCCCAGTGGGGTATTTTGGGGAGCTGAGACTTGAAACATTATCTGCAAGTGGCTGAGGATCACAGGCAGATGCTGAGCCACATTCCCAGTCCAAGCTGGGCAGAGAAGCATTTGGGATGGGACCAGCCAGCCTTTGGTGGGAGGTGGATGGGCCCCCGTGGTAGGGACCTCAGACATAGGTCCAGCTGGGCAAGGGGCAGCAAGGTGGGGTCTACTCCAGGGTCTCCCACTTACGTTGCCCACATAGATGGATCTCTGGTCAACCTCCATCTTCTCCTCATTTGTCTTTGGGAAGAGACCTGCAGAGACAAGGGGTTGTGGTGGACAGTCACAGGAGCCCTCAGCCAGAGGGATGTGTATCTGTGCAGCTCTCCTCCCAGCACGGCCACCAGAGTTAGCACAGGGCAAAGCTCCTCAGGTCCCTGGTCACATCCCAGCATACCCAAATCCCCACACTGCTGCCTCCTCCTCCTTCATCCCCTTGCCTCCCTGTCCTCACAAAATCAACCCCACAGAGTGACTGCTCTATTGGTCACATCCCAGCTCCTGCCTCCTCATGCTGCTGCTGCTGCCTCCTCCTCCTTCAGCCTCTTGTCTCCCTGTCCTCACCAAATCAACCCCACAGAGTGACTGCTCTACTGGGGCTGTTGATGCTAAACTCAATGACTTAATTGAATCTAATTAAATTAATTTACTGCAGCTTGACCTGCAAAGACAGGAGGTAAGAGTGGATATGACCCAAGCCACACCTGGGAGCCCATCCCTCACCCAACCTTACGTGTCCAGCCCTAAGCTTCCTGGAGAGACAGAGCCACTGCTCTGGGCCCTGTTGCCACCCTGTGCCCCAGAGGTGTCCCTGGGAGGGGACAGCAGCACCCAAGGACAGCCCATACCTGCCTCTGAGCTCATGAAAAAGAGGCGGCTCTCAGCTTCCAGCTGCAACTCCTTCAGCCTCTCATCCTCCTTCTCCATCTCCCGCACTCTAGCCTTGATGGCCTCCAGCTCCTGAAACCCAAACCAAGTCTTGTATGAGCAGCACATGAAGCAGGCACCCCAAGCACTGCTCCCCACCCTGGGCTGGGAGGTGCACACCCCACCAACAGTGCCCTCCCTGGCTGGGGACAACAGCCTGTCCCACAAAAAGGGAGCTCAACTCCCAGCTCCACTGAGGAAAAAAAAAAAAACCAGGGGACTGTTTCTTTTCCCATGCTTGTTTTCAAAGCAGAGGTGTCCCAGCAGCACCAGAGCTGCTGGAGGGAACTGGAGATGTAAGCTGGTGACAAACAGGAGCCATTTCCTCTCACCCAGCCAGGCAGACATCCCTGCAGTGAAAGCTAAACAGCGGGAGAGTGACAATTCAATTTCCAGCTTCTCAGCTCAGGGATTTTACCACCAGGGGCCCAAAGAATTATTTTTATTCTTAATTTTTTTGGAAGCGCTTGAAGAGAGGTGTAGAAAATTCCTCATTTCCTTAAAGAAACAGGGAAAATTGATTCCACATTCAGGCAGGCTCTCACTGGGTCGGGCACAGCCAGCTCCTCTGTGCTGTCCCCTTCCAGCTGGCTCAGGTCCAGGTCGTGGTCCTTGGCCTTGCGCAGAGCTGCCATCTCTGCCACCTCCCAGGACGCCTCCGCCGCTGCCAGGGATGACAGGTCCTGCCACCAGATCTCTGAAGTGTCCAGGAAGAGAGGACTGGGTGGGAACAGGGGGTGAAAAGCCATGTAACAACCAAAGAGCCCTTTAACACCGAGCCTGAAGCAGAACGCCCGCCTGGAAAAGGTGTTTAGGGTGCTTCTAGCAGAAGCAGGCCACCAAAGAGGTGACACCAAAGCCATTTGCTCTTAGTGCCACAGCAAGACCCCAGAACTGCAGGGGTGAGGGCTGCTGAATAGTAGAATGGTTTGGGTTGGAAGGGACCTTAAAAATCATCTAGGTCCACAGGCAGGGACACATCCCACTAGAGGAGGCTGCTCAATCCCTTGTCTTGAACACCTCCAGTAAAGGAGTACCCACAGCTCCCCTGGGCAACCTGTGCCAGTGTCTCACCACCCTCAGAGTGAAGAGCCTCCTAATTTCTAATCTAAATCTCCCCTCTTCCCAGTCTGAAGCCATTATTCCTTGTCCTATGACTACAAGCCCTTGAAAAAAGTCCTTCCCCCAGCTTTCCCGTTGGCCTCCTCCAGATACTGGAAGGCTGCAGTGAGGTCTCTCCAGAGCCTTCTCTTCTCCAGGCTGAGCAGAAAGATCTCAGCTTCATACTGAGCCACTTCCCAACTCAAGGCTGCAGATAAGACCCAGAAGCAGCTTCACTTGGGTGAAAAAAAAACTCGGCACAAGTGTGAAGGGGAGGCAGGACCTGTGCTCCAGGGCTGCACAGAGGGAGCTCTGCCCACCCCAGCAAAGTCAAACCCACCCTGTGCCAACCCCGGGCTCCCGCCTGGAGCCCACAGAACGACAAACTCTGTCCCCCAGGAGCAAGAGCCTTCCCCGGCTCCAGCCCTGGGAGCCCCGGTGCCACCACCGAGACCAGCCCCGGCTCCCCCCTGCCCGGCCCGGACCCACCTTGCCCGGCCCGCGAACATGCTG